ATTCGATGTTTCACTATCCGTAGAGCTTGATCATTCGCTTCCGCAACAAATTCCCAATTGAAGGTGCCTGTCGCGATGCTATATAATCACGATAGGCTGTCAAGAGCTTATCCGAGACTTCCTGACCTAGTCCGTGGGTTAAGACCTTACACCAAAAAGCTCGTTCCCGTTGGCATCTCCACATTATATGTGTAGCCTAAAGTGTGGTATCTGTGCACTGGGCATTGAGCGGGCATCCCTGGTCGTCCTCTTTGCCGATATAGTACATGTTCAGCTGTAACGTGGCCAATCGGTATGTCACCCATACCTGGTATTCGGTAAGTATGTTTCGGTGTGCCCACAACTGTTTCGGCGTCTGACTTTGTTGACCCTGAATCCATTTGTCTTCGTCCGTCCTAGTCTTCCACTTGTCCAATATTCTACTCAGGTTTTTCGTAGCTGATGGTCGGAAATGCCGCTTCAATTGTGTGTGTGTGTGTGTGTGTGTGTGTGTTTTTTTTTTCAACTGCATGGGTACGTGCTTATTACGTGTCCGTTCCGATGTTGTCTAAGGAAATCCATGGATTTGGGAGTTCTACTTGAACACGACTCCACCGCTCTGCTTCATCAACGTCTTGGCATCCTTCGTTACGTTAACGTGACCGATGACATCCCAATATATGCCATTTTCTCCTTACCGAAGTAATATCTCTGCTTTCTTATCCTTGTCTCGTCCTCTAATGAACGAGTCGTGTACTGACCACTTGTACTCCCTCCGTAGCTGAGGAGGCTTTCGTAAAGTGGTATTTTCCAATCGTCTCACCGATTCGTAACCGAGGAGAGCTGAGCAAAATAAAGATCGCAGCTCTGCTTTCTGGTATCCACGGCTTATCAGACCATGAAAAGGTTCCCCAGAATGCTTGAATTTCCTCCTGCGCCTAAGGATACAATGTGATTCCTTCTAAATCTACATGTACCTCCAAAATTTATCCTTTTTGTGGTTGGTGCGTGAGGTTACCTGTAGTTAGCGCCACCCATTCTATCACTTGGGGGAACTCCGTGTTCGCGGTGAGTTGACGTGCTGTAGCTGTGTCTGTAGATGGAGCTAACATCTGTCCCATGTCGGTTACAAATTGTTTTCTTCGGTCGGTCCAGTGTGCCGGGTGGGCTCTTTGTTCCTCTCTTAGGTGACTCTCGAACGGTAGTGTTTTCTCTCTCCCTGAAGCCTATCAAATTCACCCAAGCCTGTTTGTATATGTCGTTAGTATAAACGTTCAAGCAGCAAACGTTTGCTTAATATACTCGTTTTGATTGGAATTTTCCGCCTTTTGAATAAGAAGTTTTAGCTGTTGTTTTTTTCAATGTCAACATTACGGCCAAGAGAAAAGTCACTAAACTCGTAGATTTGTCACATTACTATATTTTCGTTGATGACACGGAAGGTCAATTTGCCTTTACATGTATATTTCGAAGGGAGGCAAAGCAGCGGCTCTGTGCACCATATCAGAAGCCAAATTTGATAGCACCCCGATGATCCACTCGGTAGATACGAGGACGACACACAAAGGAAGAATATCCCAAGATTGCAGCTCAAGGCTCGAAGAACTCGTAGAAAACGGCTCGTTGTGACCACTAGGTCAAGCATCTACGTGCATGG